TCTTTGTCTTCTAAAATGCAGAATATGTTCAAAATTTCAGCCATTTTATTTAAATGTGAGCTATACGGATGATATTCAGTCTCTCGCACACCCCCTGAGCCTCCCACGACTCCCAAGCGCTGCGGTTATCACGTGTTCCTGCAACACATGCAGCAGCTCCGTCATCTTCTGCTTATTATAAGGAGGCTTTTGTCAGTCCTGGGTACCCGCATACACAATAGATCACCTATACAGCACACATCTGATGACACACTGCAATCACACCTACAGCTTCAAGGAGGCAAAAACCAGATAAAAAGCCTAATAACCCATCACAGCCAATCAGAATACACAGATCTCACCAATATGACATGTGACAGCGTTGGGTGGCTGTGATATGTACGTCATCAGTGCTGCTTGTACTGCTTTACTGAGGCTGGCAATACATGATACAATTGGATTGTACAATCTCCTTTACATCTACTATCACATGTGTGGTGCAAGAGCTTGCCTGATTGAATACCAACTGAATAAATTGCAGGTCTGTCCTCATATTAAATGGCTTTAATCTAATTGGATTGTACAGTGTATGGGTGAGCTTGACTATGTATGCATATAATAATAATAATGTGTAAAATGTATTACAGGACAACTTTCTCTGACTCAGAATGATCACCATTGTATTATGAAACATCGATAGGTAGGTTGACTGCCGAGAGACACCAACTGGTCTGTGTGCAAATAAAAGGTCTTTTTGCCCCTAAATGTCTGTGTGACGCTAGAGGTCTGCGTGTCCTTAAAGGTCTGTGAGCAGCTAAAGGGCTGTGTGCTGCTATAGGTCTGTGTGTCCCTAAATGTTGGGGACCCCTATAGGACTGTGAGCACATAAAAAGATCTGCGTGCTGCTATAGGTCTATGTATCCCTAAATGTTGGGGACCCCTATAGGACTGTGAGCACATAAAAAGATCTGCGAGCCGCTATAGGTCTGTGTGTCCCTAAATGTTGGGGACCCCTATAGGACTGTGAGCACATAAAAAGATCTGTGTGTCGCTATAGGTCTGTGTGTCCCTAAATGTTGGGGACCCCTATAGGACTGTGAGCATGTAAAAAGATCTGTGTGCTGCTATAGGTCTGTATGTCCCTAAATGTTGGGGACCCCTATAGGACTGTGAGCACATAAAAGATCTATGTGCCGCTATAGGTCTGTGTGTCCCTAAATGTTGGGGACCCCTATAGGACTATGAGCAGATAAAAGATCTGTGTGCTCCTATCGGTCTGTGTCCCTAAATATTGGGGACCCCTATAGGAATGTGAGCAGATAAAAGATCTGTGTGCTCCTATCTGTCTGTGTTCCTAAATGTTGGGGACCCCTATAGGACTGTGAGCACATAAAAGATCTGTGTGCCAAAAGGTCTATGAACAGCTAATGGTCTGCAGGCTGCTTTAGGTTGTGTGGCCCTAAAAGGTTGTGAACCCCTAAAGGTCTGTGTGCTGCTATAGGTCTGTGTGCCTCTAAGGCTACTTTCACACTGTGGAGTTTTTGAAGCATTTTTGCTTTTAAAAAAGCGCCAGAAAAGCTAAAGAAAAACACTTCCCTATGTATGTGAATGTATATCTATGTATGCTTTCACACTCAGGCGTTGCGCTTGCGGTGCGGTGTAAAAGCTCCTGCTTGCGGCATCTTTGGGGAATGTTTGGGGAGTTAAAAGATACACCAAAAAGGCTTCTTCCCATTGAAATCAATGGAAAATGCCTGAAAAGCGTTTCAAAAACATCTGAAAAGCACCTCAAAAATGCCTCTGAGAAGCGTTTTGGTGCAGTTTTTAAGTCACATGTCCTTTAAAAACGCTTAGAAAGCGCTGTAAAAACGCCTATGCGTTTTTGCAGCGGATCAGTGTGAAAGTAAGGTCTTTGAGTAGCTAAAGATATGTGTGCTGCTAAAGGTCTGTGAGCAGGTAACGGTCACTGCCCTGCTTTAGGTTGTGTGTCCCCTAAAGTTCTGTGTGCTGCTATAGGCCTGTGCAGGGGCGTACTAACCATTTGGAAACTCGGGCACTGCCCGAGGGCCCGGGGTCAGTAGGAGGCCCCATGAGATGCCCCTGGTACCTTTTTCATAGGCTTTTTTTAGTTTGGGCAAGGACACAGGGGCCCCATGATCCCCTATTGCCTGGGGGCCCCATGAGTTGTCAGTCCGCCCCTGGGTCTGTGTGTCCAAAAAGATCTGTGAGCAGCTAAGGATCTGTTGTAAAGATCAGTGTCCAGCTAAAGGTCTGTGAGCTGCTTGAGGTTGTGTGTCCCTAAAGGTTTGGGACCCCTAAATGGTCTTTGAGTAGCTACAGGTCTGTGTGCTGCTATGAATCTGTGTGCCCCCAAGTGTGTGGGCCAATGCTTGAGGATAGAGAGATGAAGGCCAATGACTGAGTATATATGTATGTATGTATGTATAGGAGGTATGTATGTACACTGTATGTATAGAAGGTATGTATGTATATTGTATGTATAGAAGATATGTATGTATGTATAGAAGATATGTATGTATATTGTATGTATAGAAGATATGTATGTACACTGTATGTATAGAAGATATGTAATCTTACATTGGACAGATAGAGGTCAGTGAGATGTCAGATATATACTGTATATATAGAAGGTATAGGGATACTGATGACATGTGGTGGTATATCCTCCATGTATGTGTGCATCCTCCATGTCTCTGTCCTCCTCCTCCCATACAGATGAATGGTGTGCCCGGTGTCCTCCTCTATGGATGGATGCTCTCCATACACACACACATGTACCGCAGCACACCGAGGGATGTCCCTAGGATCGCACCGATCACATTCTCTTACCGAAAGCGGGGCGAATCCTTGATACATTCTTCAAAATCCACCGTCATGACTGCGGCGGGTGTCCTCAGTGCATTGCAGGCGGAGATGAGGGGTCCAGGGATGGAGATCACAGGAGGATGTACACGGCGATCAGCGCACACACCTCGGTTGCATAGGAAGAAGATCCCCGCACACAGAACGAGCGATCCCGGAGCAGTACACCGCACAGAGCCCGGCCGATCGGAGCGCTGAATGTTAGAGAGTGCGCTCCCTCCTTCCCCGGGATCCGACTCCTACAGCCGGTTACCAGCCCAGCCTGTCAGTGCCAGGGAGCGTCTGCAAACTCCCCGCCTGCCACTAATTCACTCCCAGACTGTCACGGCCAGGGAGCGTCTGAAAACTATCACATGGCCACTGAGACACACAGGCAGGGAGCGTCAGACAGTTCCCCCCCATACACTGTGCGTTGAGGGAATGTCCGCCTGTTCCCCCATACACTGTGCGTTGAGGGAAGGTCCGCCGGTTCCCCCATACACTGTGCGTTGAGGGAAGGTCGGCCAGTTCCCCCATACACTGTGCCTTGAGGGAAGGTCGGCCAGTTCCCCCATACACCTCTGTTTATTGAGGGAGGATCTACCGGTTCCCCCATACACTGTGCCTTGAGGGAAGGTCCGCCTGTTCCCCCACACACTGCGTTGAGTGAAAGTCCACCGGTTCCTCCCTACACTGTGCCTTGAGGGAAGGTCCGCCTGTTCCCCCACACACTGCGTTGAGGGAAGGTCCGCCGGTTCCCCCACACACTGTGCCTTGAGGGAACGTCTGCCTGTTCCCCCATACACTGTGCCTTGAGGGAAGGTCCGCCTGTTCCCCCATACACTGTGCCTTGAGGGAAGGTCCGCCTTTCCCCCATACACTGTGCCTTGAGGGAACGTCCGCCTGTTCCCCCATACACTGTGCCTTGAGGGAAGGTCCGCCGGTTCCCCCATACACTGTGCCTTGAGGGAAGGTCCGCCGGTTCCCCCATACACTGTGCCTTGAGGGAAGGTCCGGCGGTTCCCCCATACACTGTGCGTTGAGGGAAGGTCCGCCTGTTCCCCCACACACTGTGCCTTGAGGGAAGGTCCGCGGGTTCCCCCACACACTGTGCCTTGAGGGAAGGTCCGCCTTTTCCCCCATACACTGTGCCTTGAGGGAAGGTCCGCCAGTTTCCCCATACACTGCGCCTTGAGGGAGGGAAGGTCCGCCTGTTTCCCCATACACTGCGCCTTGAGGGAAGGTCCGGTGGTTCCCCCATACACTGTGCCTTGAGGGAAGGTCCGGCGGTTCCCCCATACACTGTGCGTTGAGGGAAGGTCCGGCTGTTCACCCACCCATACACTGTGCCTTGAGGGAAGGTCCGCGGGTTCCCCCACACACTGTGCCTTGAGGGAAGGTCCGCCGGTTCCCCCACACACTGTGCCTTGAGGGAAGGTCCGCCGGTTCCCCCATACACTGTGCCTTGAGGGAAGGCCTGCAAGTTTACCTCAGTCTGGCTCAAACCACAGATTTCTGGCTGGGCTTTACAATCTGATTGTACAATCTAATGTCATTACACTGAATGGGAGACAGAAAATGCAGAATGTCAACAGAATAGTATTGTTCAAAAACAAACAAATATATACACATTGATAAAGAAATTAATATACACGATTACATCTCTGTAAAGTGACCAATGAAAAATGGCGCATTCTGTAAAAGAAACAGCTTTTACCCTTCCAGTGAGCAATGCCGTAAATGTTAAGGAGGGATTCGCACTAAGTCATTTGTTGCAGTGTGTTTCCAGGTATGAGCCCTGTACTTATAATCCTCAGATATCACATTTATTACAAAAACAGCCTATTCCCATATAATAGTGTCATAAATAATGATGACAAGATTGTAATGGGCCATATGTATGTATTTAATTGTTCAACATCATATTTTATATTTAGCAAATATTCTCTGCAAATGTAATACATACATTGGATTATATGTTTAATATATGCAATGCTGTAATGTGCACTGATATTTACTAAAGAGATGTTTACTCAGTTCTGGCAGGCCTGGCACATGCACTATATCGCCAAAAGTATTGGGCCACCCCTCCATATCATTGGATTCAGGTGTTCCAATCACCTCCATGGCCACAGGTATATAAAATCCAGCACCTAGGCATGCAGACTGCTTCTACAAACATTTGTGAAAGAATGGGTCACTCTCAGGAGCTCAGTGAATTCAAGCGTGGTACTGTGATAGGTTGTCACCTGTGCAATAAGTTCATCCTTGAAATTTCCTTGCTACTAAATATTCCACAGTCAACTGTTAGTGGGATTGTAACAAAGTGGAAGCAACTGGGAACACCCGCAACTCAGCCACCAAGTGGTAGGCCACGTAAAATGACAGAGCGGGGTAAGCGCATGCTGAAGTGCACAGTGCGCAGAAGTCACCAACTGTCTGCAGAGTCAATAGCTAAAGAACTCCAAACTTCATGTGGCCTTCAGATTAGCACAACAACAGTGTGTAGAGAGCTTCATGGAATAGGTTTCCATGGCCGAGCAGCTGCATCCAAGCCTTACATCACCAAGTGCAATGCCAAGCATCGGATGCAGTAAAGCACACCGCCACTGGACTCTAGAACAGTGGAGACAAGTTTGCTGGAGTGACTAATCACGCTTCTCTGTCTGGCAATCCAATGGATGTGTCTAGGTTTGGCGGTTGCCAGGAGAACGGTACTTGCTTGACTGCATTGTGCCAAGTGTAAAGTTTGGTGGAGGGGGATTATGGTGTGGGGTTGTTTTTCAGGGGTTGGGCTTGGCCCCTTAGTTGCAGTGAACGGAACTCCGTGTTCTCTGAAGTGATGAATCACGCTTCTCTGTCTGGCAATCCGATGGACGTGTCTGGGTTTGGTGGTTGTCAGGAGAACGGTACTTACCTGACTGCATTGTGACAAGTGTAAAGTTAAGTGGAGGGGGGATTTTGGTGTGGGGTTGTTTTTTTCAGGAGTTGGGCTTGGCTGCTTAGTTCCAGTGAAGGGAACTCTTAAGGCGTCAGCATACCAAAACATGTTGGACAATTTCATGATCCCAACTTTGTGGGAACAGTTTGGGGATGGCCCCTTCCTGTTCCAACATGACTGCACACCAGTGCACAAAGCAAGGTCCATAAAGACATGGATGAGCGAGTTTGGGGTGGAGGAACTTGACTGGCCTGCACAGAGTTCTGATCTCAACCCAATAGAACACCTTTGGGATGAATTAGTGCAAAGACTGTGAGCCAGGCCTTCTCCTCCAACCTCAGTGCCTGACTTCACAAATGCACTTCTGGAAGAATGGTCAAACATTCCCATAGACACACTCCTAAAAATCTTGTGGACAGCCTTCCCAGAAGAGTTGAAGCTGTTATAGCTGTAAAGGGCGGGCCAACTCAATATTGAACCCTACGGACTAAGACTGGGATGCCATTAAATTTCATGCGCGTGTCCCAATACTTTAGGCAATACAGTGTATATGCGGCCTCTCGGCGGGTGGGCTTTAACACACAGTGGCCACATATTTGCATCTATTGGTAAACACTTTACTGTGCTGAGAACGCATGCTCCTCCTTGCACTCTCCCAACACAGCAACAAACAGTTACCAAAAAGCTCCTGATGCATACTCGCGCTCGGGAGCTTTCTGATCATGTGACTACTGTGACTGCCACACACAGCAATCATATGATCGCAATGCCCACCTCCGCCTGCTGGCATTTAGATCCACTTAAAGGGCGATAGTGGGAAGGGGTTAAAAAAAATAAATAAAAAGGTGAAGGGAATAATGCTTTATATAGCAGTAATGTCATATCTGCTTAAGCACCATTGCCTGACACTCACATACGGATAGTGTGCGTTCGGAGCATACATCAGTGTGCATGTGGATGCTCTACGCCCCCCCTGGTGCACAACCACTTACAGACACCTTTTCTAACGCATATCCATGGGCAGCTTTACACTGTGGCAACGAGACCCAAGAATGTTCTACAGGCTCTGCATGCTATATGGCCAATATGCATGAGGCCTAATACATGTAAGTGTCTATGTCTGTTTTATTCACACATATAAGGAAATACAGTATAAAGGCAGTGCTTGTACACTCAGATATAGTTACCACCTGTTCTTGAAAAAAAAATACATGTATTATTAGCAGTGTTTTCATTCTGAATTATTAAAGATGAACCCCAGGCAAGCAGCTACATAGACAGCCGAAATACATATATGGAAATTATTTAATTGGCAAGAGAATTGTAATTCTGTTCTGCCAGTCTTGTGACCTTGTCACCGCTGCCAGATAGCACAGCCAGGTCCTGTCTGCTGATAGGATACTGAAGGAGAAACAGCACACTGATGCTGTAAGTCACAACATATTACCTTTTGTATCACTTGTTCCTCCCTTTTAGATTGTAAGCTCTCAAGAACAGGGCCCTCTAAATCTGCTTGTATTGAATTGTATTTTAACTCTACCATCTCCATTTACTTACGAAGTGCTGCAGAAACTGTTGGCACAAACGAAATCCTGTATAATTGTAATAATTATTAATCCTTCTTCATGCTGTGACATCTACTCCTGTCAGCATGTTCATTGATTGCCATGAAGAAGTCAGACAAAGACCATATTTGCCGTTGAAAATGCCACCTCCAGCCTTTCTAAGTGGGAAATGTGGTGCATTGAGAACAATAAGGACTCATACATATGGGCTATTAAAAGGGTGTTTGGCAAGCAATTGTGGCACCTACCAAACCCCCCCCCCCCCTTCAACAACCAGCTCAAAAGGTTTGTACCAGTCTGAAGGGCTAAGTCCTGTATATTGAGCCACATTTAGTGGAAGTGGCTTCACATCTCAAATATTACATGTGCAGCCAATGAAAGAAGATGCTTGTAACCTGCCGCCATGTTACCACAGTTCCGGATATCCTCATGTGCCTGCTCTAAAGGCTTGAACAACATACATTTTAGGATTGTTGTAGTGCATTATTCGGCATTCTGCCCTGCAGGTCTACCAATGCATTTTTCAACATCCATTGTATTTTCTTGTACATTTTAGGCCTTTTCTGCAAGTACAAAAAAAAAACCTTTTGATCCTGCCAGAAATGTGTCTTTGTAACTTCCTGTGCACTGATATATCAATTCTTTCAGCATTCCTAGCTGGTTTCTGTGGACTACAAAACACATACCCCTTTGCAATGGAGATAAGCTGAGAAGAAGGTTTTTGAAGTCCAAATCAGAGGGGCGGTTTAGGACACTCTAGGACAGGAACTGTGTTACTGGCAGGATCACCAGGTGCAGATAAAGGAAAGAAAACTACTGTACACACCACATCTATGGACTAATAAACTGTAGTATCCTTGGATTTAGATGCAATATAAAATGGTATGTGCCATCAACAGGCATAAGTTTACTTTGTAATGCTGCATGGAATAACTGATGGTGTAACAGTTATTCATAAATACAACTACTAAGAAAAAAAATTTAAAATATGATAATATAAAGGATAAAAATACAAACATAAATAAAATAAAATAAACAAAGAGGATACTAGTGTTCTTTCCATCACTGGTGATCAGGTAACCTTGAAATAATTTTCCACTCATCCTTGCATAAAATGATTGAAAAATGAAAAAGGATAACTTGGTACTGCTTAGTAATGTTTTACAGATGTTAATGACAATGGATCCATATAGCAAGTACTGTAAAATAGATGTATATGTTGGGTTAACAAAGAATCACCTCCCTTGCATTGTCTAGCAATGTGACTGTGTTTAGCATTTCTTGTGATAATACCACAGCAGATAGATCTAAACAGCGGATGACATTTAATTGGCTAAAGCCTTGTGTATTATAAACAATGGCCATTTTTCTATAAAATATTGCATTCACCTTTCTTTCATCTTGTGTGCTTTTCATTGTTGCTCATCTTCTGCAGCCACTTCCTGTCTATATGCATTAAAGCGTCAGGTGCAATCACTTCTGTGGACTGGCCTATCTGAGAATGACAATAGTGGACAGTGCCTGTTCAATATGTGTCAGCATGGCTGCTTTTGGTCTCTACCAGAGGTCCATGCGATAGGTTGACAACACAGGATCAAAACTACAGTTGCAAGAAAAAGTATTTGAACCCCTTGGGATTACGTGGAGTTTTGCATGAATTGGGCATAAAATGTGCTCTGAACGTCATCTAAGTCACAACAATAGAAGAACACAGTCTGCTGAACATAATACTACACAAACATTAGATGTTGCCATGGTTTAATTGCACATAACATGTAAACATTCACAGTGCAGGGAGGAAAAAGTATGTGAACCTTTGGACTTAATAACTGGTTGACCCTCCTTTGGCAGCAATAACCTCAACCAAATGTTTCCTGTAGTTGCAGATCAGACCTGCACAACAATCTGGAGTCATTTTTGACCACTCCTCTTCACAAAACTGTTTCAGTGTAGCAATATTCTTGGGATGTCTGGTGTGAATCGCTCTCTTAAGGTCATGCCACAGCATTTCAATCGGGTTGAGGTCAGGACTCTGACTGGGCCACTCCAGAAGGCGTATTCTGTGCTGTTGCAGCCATTGTTTTGTTGAATTACTTGTATGCTTTGGGTCATTGTCCTGTTGCATCACCCATCCTCTGCGGAGCTCCAGTTGGCAGACAGATGGTCGTACATTTTCCTGCAAAATGTCTTGATAAACTCTGGAATTCATTTTCCCATCAATGACAACAATCCGTCCAGGCCCTGAGGCAGCAAAGCAGCTCCAAACCATGATGCTCCCTCCGTCATGTTTTACAGTGGGGATGAGGTTTTGATGTTGGTGTGCTGTGCCTTTTTTTCTCCATACATAGTGTTGTGTGTTCTTCCCAAACAACTCAATCTTGGTTTCATCTGTCCACAGTATATTTTGCCAGTAGTGCTGTGGAACATCCAGGTGCTCTTTTGCAAACTTCAAATGTGCTGCAATATTCTTTTTGGACAGCAATGGCTTCCTCCGTGGTGTCCTCCCATGTACTCCATTCTTGTTTAATGTTTTCCTTATTGTAGATGTATCAACAAAAATGTTAGCATGTGCCAGAGATTTCTGTAGGTCTTTAACTGACACTCTGGGATTCTTCTTTACCTCATGCAGCATTCTGCGCTGTGCTCTTGCAGTCATTTTTACAGGACGACCACGCCTAGGGAGAGTAGCAACAGTGCTAAATTTTCTCCATTTGTAGACAGTCTGTCTTACCGTGGACACATAAACATCAAGGCTTTTGGAGATACTTTTGTAACCCTTTCCAGCTTCATGCAAGTCAACAATTCTTGATCGTAGGTCTTCTGAGAGCTCTTTTCTGCGAGGCATGGTTCACATCAGACAGTGCTTCTTGAAACCAGTAAACCCAAAACAGGTGTGTGTTTTTTAAGGGCAGGACAGCTGTCAGCAACACATCCAATATCATCACACTGATTGGAGTCAAGGTTGGCTCACTCCTGGCTCCAATTAGCTCTGGGAGAAGTCATTAAGCTAGGGCCCTCACATACTTTTTCCTCCCTGCACTGTGAATGTTTACATGTTATGTGCAATTAAACCATGGCAACATCTAATGTTTGTGTAGTAATATGTTCAGCAGA